TTTCTATTCATCTTAGAATATATTTCCAAAGTTCTAAAAATTTTCTTCTGTTCCGTTATTAGGCTCTAATGCCAATTAATAAGCGGAAACAATTAAAATATACAAGTAAGGGTATAATAGACAAAATACAAATAAAAAGACAAAAATATGAAGTATTGTTTTTCTTAATAAATCTTAGCTGTCCATTTACAAAATCTCAACCCTACACCTCATTATGTCAACAAGTTTTGTTAAGCTACTTGGTACAAGTAGCAATATTCTTTTAAATATGTATCATCTTTCTTTCGTTTCTTTAAAAGTCTTGATGTTAAAGTCGTAAGCTCACTTGATATATCGCATATGGTCAATCAGAATGCAATGGGCCATGTTATTTGGAACATGATCGAATCTAGTGGTAGTATCGTAGAGCAGTTAACATTAATATTAACATTGGTTGGGTGCGCCAATACCCCACTCACACCTTCGTGGCATAAACATACATCTCATAACAAAAATATTTAGGATACGTATCTTTCTAAATATCACTTGAGTCATGATATTTGGAAATTTTTTATATTTTGAAACTTCATGTATACTTGTAGATGCATTGGCATGTATGAATATGTATTAAACATTTGTGACATAGAATATAATAACCAAACATTATATTTACATAAAGATAATCAAGACAACACATTTATACATTTAACCATATGACGTACGCATAAAAACGACGAGAAGTTTATTTGCCTTAAGTCCGAACAATTTACTTTTAGAATGACAAGTGGACATGTTTCTAGCCACCCACAAAATCAATTATCAATTATTAAAATAAGTTTTCTAATTAACTCATCTTTAACTGTTATTATTATATTAAATAGATAATATGTTATCTCATCTTAAGTATCATTTTAGAATTATCAACTTTTCTTGTAAACTTATCTTAATGAAGAATAATTTAACTTCATAGGTTAAAAAATTAATTTGAAATTCCACGTTGCCACCATGTGAGACACCGTATTTGCACAATTTATTTAACGTTACCTACAATCACATTTATCACAATGACTACATGTATAAATTGTTTTAAATGACACATAGGGCAGAGTCCAAATTGACTATGAACATGTTTGGCTACTCTTATAAACTTTACTGGTGATTAAGCATTGGCATTAATAAAATTGACAAGCATTATATATATGCACAAGAATTCTTACTACCTGTTTGTTAAGTCTTAAGTTGCATTGGCAATTTTTTAAACAAAATGATTGTTATAAAAAAGTTGTAAAATTCAAGTAGTTTTTTGGGGTGTTGTATAGATAAATTATGAGTTTTTGGGTTTGAGCATGGAACATGGAGAAAGAATTATCGGATTTACGCTAGCCTACCGCCAAACTAATGCTCGAGCGTCCAAAACAGAACCAAACGTCGCATGAGTGTTTTTCGAAAAACCTCATTTCGCGATTTTTAAGAGTTCTATCTATCCTATACTATTCAAATACCACATATTATAAATATCCAATGCCCATTACGTTTGTATGTGTGGTTGATGATTATAATACATTCTCATAACATCATTCCAAGATACAATAATATATCCAAACATTGAGATTAAACATTTAATTTTTGAGATCAATCAACCAAAAGTTGAGAAAAACATCAAATTGAAATAATTAAAAACATCAACTTCTTAAATATAACCAGGAAAGTACTTTCTTAATGACTTTTAGAGGTTGTTGAAGATTGAAGGGGGTTGAAACAGAAGCACAGAAAGAGTACATGAATAAAGTGTTATTGGTGATTGATGGGAAATAAACAATTCCAGAAGATCGGAAGTAAATGTGAGTGGAACAAGTTCCAGCATATCTTGGAGATTACATGAATTATATTAGCGAGTCTAGTGAATTTTCTAGACTAGATCATAATGTAAGTTCTTATTGTCTATATTGAAAGTTATTGGGATGGTCCTAGAATTTTTACCCAATTAAAGGTTTTCTGTGTCAACAAATCTTGTATTATTCACTGTTTTATTTATTATTGTGACAATTCAACATATGATAACTAGACTTGATCGACTAAACATCCAGAACAAATGGATGAATTTTAATACATGGCAAACAATTATATGACAAAATAGGCATTCAAAAGGACCAAACCAATAATTAAAATGGTAAGCCCTTGTTTGGTTCACATTATTTTCAAAATACATTTTTTTCTTTCTTATTTTCAATTTCATATTTTTTAATAAAATAATGTTACATGCAAACCAAATTTTTTTCTTATTTTTTTACCACTCGTTTTCCATCAAAATATTATTCCAAAATGCATTTTATTAGAAAAAATGTGGCTCAAAAAATGCTATTCCAAAATGCACTTAAATTAGTAATACTAGACTTCTTTGAAAACCAATAAAGGAAGTGATAGGTAATGATCAATTCAATATACTAGCATGGGTTTTAAAAAAAAAGGATAATCATAAAAATACATATACATAACATTTAAGTGTATAATAGTGATGACAAACGGGCCGAGTGGC